ATCGCCGATCACGCACTTTTTCACGAAAATCGGCCCGATTATGATCGGTGACCGATCGATCGGCACACCTCTACTAAAAACGATAAATTCTTAAGAATGTATTAAAAATAACCAAATTAATCTATGAATTGTATAGCTATTGTTATTAAAATAGAAATGTTTGGCAATATTAGTCACAATAATTACAACTGAATAGTTTTGAAGCACAAAACTGTGCTTGCAGCTAATGTTTTATTTTATTTAGACTACATTTTACTTTTGAGCTATCCTCTGAGTGCACAAAGTATTGTAGACTAGCTGTGCCAGAGAGCTTTGTTAAAAACCAAACGCTAAATATTTTTTTCTATGTACCATTGTATTTAAAGCCAATATCAATTGTCATATGAAAAGAAAATAAACCCATATGCTTAATTTCGCTTACCAAATCTTCTGTGCTACCGAGTTTGCACCAGTTTTTAATACACCCAAACCTTTTAAAGATCAGCTCTTTGACTTGTAGGTGACTTGTGAGCTCGGCTGACATGATCATTCAAATCTGTGTGTTCATCGATTAAATTTTCTCTCCTTTATTGACAAATGATGTCATGGAAGGCAACAATATTAAGTTTCAGAAGAAAAAAAAGAGAGAGAGAGAGAGAGAGAGAAAAAAACAGTTTTATTGTTTGTTCTTGTGTTAATGTGTTAGGAACAGAATGTAGCCTATAGTTGTAAGTGGTATAACAATGATCAAAGGCAATGACAAAAACTGATGAAAAGGAATACAGAGCTGTTGTACCACTGCCACTCAACGAAAAACAATCAAAACATTGTTTCAACACCCATTTTTTCCAAATTCTGTTTATAAAGCGGTTGGTTACACACATATCTATTTACACATTCGTTTTCTAAACTATGCCCACTTAGTTACACATATGTAACAGTACTAAAACATCCACAGGCACACAGTAGGAGCTGCACAGGTGGTGCCTCACATGAGGTCTGCACTCCACATCAAAAGGACACCTCTGACATCTCAGATCGCTCACAAATGATGATGCACAGAGATCTTTTGCCACTACAAAGGTAGAACAAAAGAACTAACATGAAAGAGAAGTCAATAAACATGAGGTGTTTAATAAAACATTTTTTTTTCTGTTGTATTCTCTACAAAGATTTTTCACGACAAAACAAAAAGATCTGTTGAGTCACATGACTGAGAAGCAATAGTGTAATTCGGTCCGTTAGAGAAAGACTGCCCTGATGATAATGAACCAATGTAAGGACATTACAGTCACATGGTCAAAAATGGAGGTCCGCAAGTTTAGTGGACAGTTGACCCTCTCACAGTGTACATACAGTGTACATGCTGCACATCTGTTGCATTTAGGGAACTGTTGCAAGCAGGTATTGATGTGCTGAGATAAGGTGATACTGGATGAATGAACCCTGCTAAACAGCACTGAATACTTCAAAGTATGACTTTAAACATATATACATTCAACCAGATTATAGCAAACAGTCTTATTTTCTATTTTGTTTGTCTCAAAAGATTTGTCTTTTTCCTAATAGTACAACATATGTCTTGCTAATGGTAGACAATTTTTTATTGACACATTTTTTTCTTGCCTGGCATTTTCTAAGAATTTGTGCTTGTGTACTTCAAATGTACATCACCACCCCAGTGGGCTCAAATTCCCTTCTTTCTCCGTAGTTGGCATACTAGATTGTTAATTTGTTTACTCGCTCCGTGACGGGACACACGAGAAGTCCCTGTTGTGGTGATACAGCGCACATATGCACATGCTATGGACAAGTTGTCCTGGGCATAACCAGCATCAAAGTGTGCTGCAGGCAATCTCTTATGCCCGGCAAGAAAAACACATAGACAGAAGTAGCAGTTGCACAGAGGGAATGTGCCCAGTGCAGAGCAGCACCAGAGTCAGTGGAGCTGTGGCTTACAGATGTTCGGTGTCCCACCGCAGTTGTTGGAGCTACAGAGAAGAGTCAGCCCGGGAGGACGAAGAGCCGAGGCACAGCAGCACAGAAACAGAATGGAACATGAGGTCACACTCAAAGCATCACAGCCCAGAGCACCTCCAACTTCTGGCATTCGCAGCAGTCTCTGAGCAAACATCAGTCAACACATGCTCTGGTGGTGGTGGTGTGTGTGTGTGTGTGTGTGTGCATCTGTTTGTGTTTGGGAGGGAAAGAGGGAGGGAAGGAGAGGGGGAAATACAGTATGTCAGATGTAGAGAAGACAATACCTAGAATGGTAAGAGGGTGTTTTTGTAATCAATGAAGTTGGTCATGTAGACCAGATGTCATCCGAAAGATATTTCGTACTAACTTGTTTTGTTTGAGATGTTTTAAAGCTAAATTAGATGAGGGTGTGGTTTTTAGTAGACGAAACAACCCATAACTGTGATTCAAAGTATTTTTTGATGACCCATTTATACACTTATAACAATCTACTTTCTTGCAGGGCACCTTTCAGTCAGTATGAACACTGGTTTCTTTTTGAGAGTTGAGTGGCAGCAGAATTGCTCTTAAGCTAACAGGTTGGGGAGCAGAATAAATGGTTCTCAGCATTAACTAAATTGCTATTCCAGGTGGTCTACACCAAGGTGAGAATGACTAAGGTCATATGTAAATATATTTTTTTTTCTTGTCTGAGTTGTAGAAATGTAAATATTGTTAAACTACTTCAGAAAGTATTTTCAATGAAAAATACTTTTTCATCATTTTTACGAAGCCTTCACATTCTGATTTTGTACTCCAACACTCAACCCTGCCAGCCTGAACTTATTCTGAAGACAAACCCAAATGATTTCCTTCGTATTTCAACATTCACAGAACTTTTTATTCGAATATGTGATGCAATAAAATTCATAACTTCATTTTTTTAACAATTAAAATTACTAAGCTCATTCTCTTATTTTCCTAATTTTAAACATTTATCAGGTATCCACTACCTTTTTCATGACTGTGTGCATATGCATCATCGGCCATGTAAGGGGATGGGTTGCATCTGTGCGTGTGTGTGTGTGTGTGTGTGTGTGTACAGGCTCGTGTACATTTCACTGTCTGCTTAAGCCGACCAAAGTATTGCATGCACGCAGTTGTGTAACATGAATATTCTGCTTTGGGTCTGGCTTCTGTGGTCTCCCTCGATATGGGGAGCTGTGTAGTTGGAGGTGGGGGTCGGGATGGGTGTGCACTCTAATGGGCTACCCTGGGACCTGACGCCTCTCTCCAGAGACACATGGGCACCATACAACCCAACCCTACAGCCTTTGTCAAAATAGAGGCTTCCTCAGATATTCCTTTTCAAATCTATTAACTCCAAACTCAGATCCACACCTAATTAGGATGAGCAGGACAGCTTCAAATGAGCTATATGAAATACAGATGTTCAAATTTAATACGGAGATCATTTCCGATCTTTTTATTTTTTCACCTTTATTGTGACGTATAACGTGGACAACTGTGGTGAAATATCGAAATAAAAAAGTTAAAATGATCTGTTTGTATATAGATACTTACCCTTTCATATCTAAGGATGCAACAGTTTTCATAAGTGTCCACCATAATCAGTACAAATCTACCATAACTGAAAGAGCCTCTGAGTAACCCCATTTTCTTGACAATTCAGATCTAATAGCAAATGCCACGGTCCACAATTAGCTTCCAAAACATTAGCGGGACCTCATCATCAATAACTATCAGTCACAGGGAAGGTGCAAAACAATTCCAAAGACATTGGACGTACAATGAAACAAAGTCATCAAGAAGTGAAGAAAATATGTAGCAACAGTGACAAAACCAAAGATGCATGTCTCTGGAATTGATTAAATAAAGAAATGTTGAAGAAAGCTGGTCAGTGAGGATGCCAAAGATAAAACAGCCATGTGGAAGTAAATGCAGCAGTATTACGTGAAAAAAATCTACTGTACTATTTACATTTCTAAGCGACGAGATAAGGAAGAGTCCAAAGCTCCTCAGAACGGCAGCCTTTAAATGGTATAAATTAAAGGCATTGCTGTGATGACGTGCTGAAGGCGGAGTGTTGGAAAGAGCATGAACTTCTTAAAGAGACAGAGGTCAATTTCAAGGCATCAAATTGCAAAGTCAAATTCCTTTTAAGTTATCCTTGATTTATAGAGCATTTTTATAACAACTGAAGGTAACTTAGCTACTTTATTGTATTATAAATTGCCTAGAAAATACATATTACTGCTTATAGACTCGAACCCAAAATGACCCACATTAAACTTATTAAAATATGAGCAAATATTTCATTTTGTTACGTTATTATATTAGGAAGAAGTCAATTTCCCAATACTTAACACAACTGTGTATTTAACAGATGGGCGACCTGTCCAGGGTGTATCCCGCCTCTCGCACGATGACCACTGGTGACACAAACCAAACCCTGCCGCAAACCTGCAAGAGTAAATGTGTAGACAATGGATCAACATTTTTAATAATTGTATATGAAATCTGCAAATTTTGATACATCTAGCATGATTTTGGAATTTACTTTCAGAAAGCAGCTGCTTACATTTTCACAATAATTACAGTGTGAATGTTTATCTAACTGCATCCATGTTTTATATTTATCATCAGATGCATTCTTATTGTAACTGTATCAATGTGTACTTTTTCAGTGTCTGTGCTTTTCTCCATGACCAAAGTACTGTGTCTCCTGCCCCTTTTAATCAGTGTAGCAGTGTAGAAAGCTGCCTCATCTCTACACAATCAGATTAGGGAGGATTGCTGTTCTGTGAAGTAACACAAAGTAGAGCACTCCACCTCTCGGATCAAGATGATTTGATTAATAATTTGCCATCATATTATCCGTTAAGAGGCAGAAATTGTTTTATTTCTATTTATTTATTTTCCATTTGTTACTACGTTTTTCCACCGCTCCTCCTAAGGCTAAGCGGAGATTGAAAGATTATTTTACCCACTTTAACCACCTCATCCCTCCACTCGCTCATTCTCTTTCTCCCTCAAAGCACTTCACCCCTCCTTCTCTTGCTACCGCTGATTGTTGTTAGTTCTGCCAGTGACCAGATGGGGGTGCCATGCCTGCTGCACACAGTCGGAGCCTCCTCCACACCTAATCTCATCAAAATAAACATGCCAGCAGTTGTCAGCTTCTCCAGCAGCGAGAGGCAAGAAGGGAGGGTGCTATAGAAACAGGTCAGGCTAATCATGCATATAATTGCATTTTGACATTTTGGGCTACTGGGACCAGACCTTTGGATATCAGGTTATCCTCGAAGCACTTAAGTGATTAACTAATGAAAATGCACCTTGGAAACTTAATTAGATATTATGTCTTGTCCATGGCTGTGAGGTGGGGTTTTATGGTAGTTTTTGAGAAAGGAGGAGCACAACATAATGTGGAAACTGCTTTTGTTCTGGGAAGACATTACAGTGAAAAAATTTACAAAATCTTTATTGTCAATATCTTGTTTTATCCGTCTCATTTGACCACAAGAAAACATAATTGCACTCCCATGTAATTAAAGGATCAAAGTTTTATTCAGTTATCGTTAGAAAAACTGATAAAGTATTATTGTACACTTATTAGTAAAATTAAAACTATTTTCACTTTGATTTGTGATTATTTTAATTTCTAAATATAGCATCTTTTGAGATTTTTTGCAGATTTAATAGGAAACAAAAAAAAACATTTGCCAAGAATTCACTGTCTTTGTTTAATACTTTGTTAAGCTACCTGAGCAGCAATGACAACCTTGAGTCTTTGACAATAGGATGCCACAAGCTTAGAACACCCGTCTTCAGTTTCACCTATTATTCTTTGCAGTCCTTCTCAAACTCCATCAGGTTGAATGGAAGTCCGGACTCTGGTTCTCAAGTCACTCCTTCGAGATCTTGATCATTGCTTTGGGTTGCTGTCCTACCGAAAAATTAACCGTCGCCCCAGTCTGAGGTCAAGATTGCTCTGGAGTTCAATCTTTGTCTCATCAGACCAGAAAATTTTGTTTCTCATGATCTAACAGTTCTTCAAGTGCCTTCTGGCAACTTCTAATGGACTACCATGTGTATTTTATTAAGGAATGGCTTTCATGGTGACCAAATAAAAAAAGAAAAAGACTCAACATAAACCTGTCTAGTATCTAAAATCATTCTTTGGAAAATTAATAGCATACAAAAATTAATATAAAAGCAGTTGTGTTCATACAATGAAACCTCATAAGATGTTAAAACTCAAAATTTCTATCACATTGTCCGTGAGATTCAAACTAATGTGTAGCTTAGAGATTTTGAGTTGTGGTAGAAATTCAATTTATTAGATTTTTGTCTTGATCCAGTCTGTTCCAGTCAAGTCAATATTTTATATCCAACTTTAACATAAATCAGGAGAAAATAATACCCCAATACTATTAAATACTTAATCAAGCTTTAACAAAATAACATCAGAATAACCACATTATATGGTTGAACATAGGATGTGTTGCACAGAATTAGTCCCAGTAACATGCTTTTAGAGTACAGTTAATGCACTTCACAGGAAGAAAAAAAAATGTCATTCTCTATTCAATTTATAGCATTGACTACTGCAAACATCCAGAATTAAGATGCTTTTTGACTTTCAAATGAAGCTTGCCACAATGCTGAAATCTGACTGCAACTCAACTTGAAGTAAGTTCGAACAGAAAGGCAAAGTCATAACGTGTGGAATTGCTTTCTGCCAACTCGACCCTGTGCCACCCAGAGCTTGTCATCAGCAGAAGGACTGATGAAAACATGCCCCCCTAAGAACATCCTGATCCCCATCTTTACTTCACAGGCCAATAAGAGCCATCAGTCAGAAGAAGTGGTGGGGAGTATAGAATGGATGATGAGGGGGTTGGGGACAAGGTTATGGGAGGTTAGGCAAGGGAACTCTGGGCCTCAGCTGTCAGCTCTGTATATTCACATATGGTTCAGTGTCCTAGCAGTGCTGCGGTAAATGACAGAGCCGTCCTTTTGAATTTTCAAAGAAATACACATCTTCTCAAAAGTTTCAGTTGGTAGAAGTCTGCACACACAAACTAGCGCACATTTATATGCATCATACAATAACACAACTAAACGTATATACACACACCCACACACAACTGAACCTGAAATCATACACAAAGCACATTCACGGGCAGGCATGCTCATCTCCTGCATTTTGCATAGGTGACACTTTTCATTATTCAAAGCATCTTTCTTGGGATGTGGTGTGCACACTGAGAGGCGACATGCACTTTCTCCAAACAAGGTACACCTTAATTATGCATGCTGAGACTACAGGCAATGCAATTCAGTGCTCCTGTGTGCATATGTATCTGTAAGAATGCTTTGTTCATATTTTCCAAATTGTAGTAGAACATATGTGTTCATATACCAGAGAAGTTCTGTGTAGCTTTAAGATGCTGAAAAATAGGTCTGTATGAAGGCAGACATAATTTCACTGTGCACCACCTGTTCATGCTGAAGACACCAACATTAATTTTCTGGTCCAAAAATTCAGATGAACCCAAAAAGACAGAAAAGTTCCAACAAGTCACCCCGCCAATGCATGTCTAAAGAACCAGGAGATGGTCTGCACTAGCTAATCTGATTTTGTGTGAACAGATGCGTTTTGCTATAAGGCAGTCATACCTAACCATTTCTTCAGAGTCCTCCACTGCTGCAAGCTCTCCACAAAACATATTGTATCGTTGTCATTTGTTTTGTCTCTTTATCCACTTGACAGAGTTTCAAATTTGCAAACTCTCTCCCTGAAGAGACGGCAGTGATGAAACAATTTGAAAGACTGTGGTGCTTAGCGTTCACTTAGCAATACGGATCGGTGTGAAACACGCAAGCAAAGTTTTGTTTAGGTGATTACACCAGATTAAAGATCACATGAATGTAATCAAGCACACACTACTTTAGTAGAGGCCTCTGCTTTGAGTATTGAGGCAGAGGCACATTAGAACAGTAAGCATCACATTAACTGGGAGCAGAGGAGGCTCAGAGGTGCTGCAAGACGGGGATTTTCAGCTTGATTAGGTTTTCATCTTGGAGTAAAAGGATGCATTATTTATTTTCCAACTTGACTAAGTGTGTGTGAGAGAAGACGCAAAAAGGTGCGTGCATGTGTGTGTTTTCGCATATGTGCTCTTGTGATGGATGAAAAAGCCAAGCCAAAGTAAATACTTCAAACCGTTCTACCTTCCTCTTGATGCAGAAAAACAACAAGCTCCTGGGTCAGAGTGCAACATTCCCAAAAGTGAAATTCCAGCAATTATTCACGGGAGATCCACAGTGGATGCTCTGGGCAACATGTCCGCACCCTTGAGTGGGCAGGGGAGACTGACAGGCCCATTATAAAACGGCCCACGTGACAGATAAATATTTCAGACACAAATAAATAAAGGATGCCTGACGTTTTCTCTCTGAATGACTTTTCACAGCCGAATGCCCACAGCTGCTTGCTCTGGGATCTTCTGGCGGCACCTTTTACCCCTCCCTTACTATCATCCCTAGTATACCTATTCTACCTCAGGCTCCATGCGATACACAGAACCAGGCCACCAAATCCTATTGATGTTCACCCCTTTCTACAAAAAAAGGGGGGGAAAAAACAGCATACAAACACCAGGGCTCTGCCTCTCTTACACACTTCCCCTGGGTCGTGCGCCCCTGGCAGAATCGGCAGGTGAAGGCACTACTTCCATTTCTGTGTACAAAGAAGCAATTAATCTATGTGTCTGAGACAGGGTGTTCGGGAAGGCCTTCTCATTGTATTTGTGGATCGTTCCCTGTCAAGCTAACTCAGAAAGGCAGGCTCCATTGTTGCCCAGTAATTACAATCATGTGTGGAATTCATGTTGGGAATTGTAATAGCTGACTTTGTCTGTCTTTGTGTGCATGTTTGCGATACTCATGCGGTAGAAAAAGTTGTCGGAGAAGTAGCTTTCCCATTCCAATCATTTTTATAACTACCTTTTCAATATTTTGGGACTAGGTGAAACCAGAAATTGTAACAATGTGATAGTCACTTTGGAGGAATCCAAGTTTTTGTGATAACAGTAAAAACAACAAAAAAACAGATATGTCAAGTGGATATCTTGACGCATTCCTGCCTCTACACACCAGCTCAGAGAGAGCTACCAAAGGAAGTGGTACCATATTATTCCATGCCTAATGGAATAATATGTAATAGTCTAAGCCTGGAAAGGATGGTCAGTGCTTTAATATTTGGGACTTAAAAAGGAAGTAGTTCTTAAGCTGCCCTGTTTGGTTGATAGACTGCTAATAAACACTACTCATAAGACTGACTAAAATCTCTTGGTTACATAAGCAGTGAAGAACCCCTCTTCACTTAAATAAGTACAAGAAACAGGAAATGCTGACAGAATGACAGACATTTATTAGCTCTGAGACTATTGTGACTGGGT